ATCAGCAGCTACTCTAACAGTAAGTCAGTTTTTTTTGTAAATTTTTAGTTGTTGTTGCCAGTGCTTTTGTTTCTGATGTAAACGGGTTACAAGAACCCCAGGGGCTTTTTCCTGCTAAATGTTTTTTTTTTTTTGTCTTGGGTAATGGAGTTTTTGTTGATAACTATCAACCATTATGTGTTTATGATAATATCTGTAATAAATTGCTGTGGGCTGCATTTAGATGCTACTGTTTATGATTGACTCAATAGGAGTAATTTTATATCATAGTAATATGAATCTAGGAATTTTTTAGGAATTTTGGTTCCATAAAAAGAACAAAAATACTGTACTGATAAATCTATTCATTACCATTGAGAAATTTGGTATTAAGTGTTTTAGTAATGTTTCGAAAGAAGTCTCTCATACTCACAGAGGCTTTATTTTTTTTAATCAAATATACAGTAAAAGCAGTAATATTGGGAAATATTATTTAAATTTAAAAGAACTGTTTCTATTTTAATATATTTTAAAATGTAATTTATTCCTGTGATGCAAAGTTGTATTTTCAGCATCATTAATCCAGTCTTCAGAGTCACATGATCCTTCAGAAAGTGTTCTAATATGCTGATTTGCTGATGAAGAAACATTTCTTATGTTAAACTTCTGTGCTTCTTAATATTTTAGTGGAAACTGTGATACATTTTTCCAGGATTCTTTGATTAATAGAAAGTTCAAAAGAACAGCTTTTACTTGAAATAGAAATATTTTGTAACATTATAAATGTCTTTACTGTCACTTTTGATCAATTTAAGCATCCTTTGATTAATTTTTTATTAATGATTAATAAAAGTATTATGTATTAGTTAAAAAATATCTTAACTGACCCCCAACTTTTAAATGGCAGTGTATTTATAATAATAGTCTACTATCATTGTTTTGAATCAGTTTTTAGTTCAACATGCGTTTGGACCGCCATCCTGAGTGAAATCTCTTGTGATTTGTACCAGACACAGATTCAGAAGAGGACAATTCCCTGAAGGATGGCTGGCCTCCTAGCTCCATGTTGGGGAGAACAGGGTCACGTCCACAGCTCCCCGGCCTATGCAGCACTCCATCCAAGAAAAAGCGCTCATCGTCCAAGAGAGCCTCTTCATCCTCATCTTCATCACTCAAGTCCAAGCAGGCGGCCAAAGAGAGGAAACATAAGCACTTTGCTTTATTGCTACAGGAGGCAGGAGTCAGCTCCTCTGAGGACTCATTTGATCAAGGTTAATAAAGCATACCTCACTATGCACAGAATCGAGAAGGCAGCCTCTCGGTTTTAGCTTTTTTTATTTTTGGTCTGTCTTGTATTTTTAACCATGACCATTGGTCATGGTGACATTTTTCCTGAGAAGCCATTTTAAGATGCTTGCATCAGAATTTGCTACCTCACTTCCAGTATATAATATAATCAGCTCTTGTTAGAGTCTCTTTTAAATGGTTTTACTTTTTTAGGAATGTCTTGCCATTGTGCATTAAATGTGTGTGGCTGTGTGGAAAGTGTTCTTTATTGTATTGCCGTTTGGTACCCAAGCTTTATTAAACATGCTGATTTCATTTTTACTGAAAGTAAAGTAATGCAGTGTTCTCTGTCTCTTTTGCTACATCTCTTGCTGTAGAGTGTTAGTGTGCAACGCTCCACACTCCTGGTTTCCTCTGTTGTTCAAATATCCCTTTCATCAGTGAAGAGCTGTCACAAGAAGATATTTGCATAAATTCAGTGCTCATGAGCAGTCCTGATGAGATTCAATAGGCCGAATGATTTTGAGAAGCATAACTAACTTGTTAGGATCTTCAAAGAGATCAGATATTTAACAAATGAGAAACCGTTGAATTCAGATAAGATGGATGTTGGCTGATGTTTTTCTGCATTTACAATATTGTATACATGTATCATTTAATTGGTGCCATAAACTAATGTGAAGCCACTGATAGTAGAACATACTACCATTATAACTATGCTAAAGTCACTAAATCTACATGCACACGACCAGAATTTGTTGAACTTTAAAGCTTAACCTGCAATCATAAATCTTGAACTGTTCCAAGAAGTGTTTTCCACTATGGTAAGTGTGTGAACAGGGATATTTGGAAAATAGGGAGCACTCTGATTTACTAAAAAATGAATAACCTAGCTTCTCTAGACTGCTCGCTCTCTCCCTGCAGCTGCTTGGCCACCCCTCCACCTCTGACCCCTTCTCCTACCCATGATGCTTTTGAATGTCTATCGGTCTGTGCGTTTGCTTGTCCTGCTGCAACAAAATAAGAAGCAAAGGGCTTGTCTGGGAGTTGGGCAGCCAGCTGTTCAGCGTGAGGTCACTATCCATGTCACCTGAGCCTTGAGCATTGTCCTGTAAGTAGGCCACCACCCTCTTTTGCTGTGACTTCTCAATAATTTCTACTAATTCGTGCTTACACTGTTACAGAACCAAAACACAAACAAACAAACAAAAAAGACTGGATAACAAACTAGGTGTTAAAAATACCTTTGTAACATGCTCACCTCCTGTTATATGCCTTCAAGCCATGGTTATGTTTGTATTTGGTGGAAAAAGTTTTTTATATATATAGTTTAGGAGATCGCCATCTTCTCCTTCTCCATCACCATTATCTTCTCTTCCTCCTCCTCCATCTCCTCCTTCACTTTCACAACCTTGTTCTTCATCTTGACCTTCTTCTCCTTCACCACCTCCTCCTCCTCCTTCATTCTTCTTTACCTTCATCTTTTTCTTCTTCACCGCCTTATTTTTGGTCATTAATAATTTGATGTTTTAGAAATTCTCTACATCTGCAAGATTTTGATTTATTTTGCCATTGTTATACAGTATATAACTAAATAGTGTTTCTCTTTGATGTTGGTTAGAATTTAATGTCTGATTAAGATTGCTGTGTATAAGATTTAATTTATTTTTATTTTTTTTTCATAATTTACCGCAAAGGAAGCAAGAGGTTTGAATTGAAAAAGAACATAACCATGAGTGAAGTGGTTAATGGTCTGAGTTGAGTCTCAGGAGTCATGGAGGACTGTCCTCACAGAGCCTGCTTTGTGTTCCTCAGCTTTCTTCTTCCTGTACACATCCTTTGCTTGCTGTCAGTTCATGTAATACATGCTTCAGGTTTTAACGCTTTGGCATCTATACAATTATCACAACATAACCAATCGAAGTCCTTGTCTGCTACAAAGTCTGTGTCTTTAACAAACTCACCTCTGGCTTCAGCTACTCACAACCGCGCTGAAACACCCTGTGTGTCTGTTTCCATCACCAAGTGTGTTCCTCACCCTCCAGAGAATGAGAGAAAAGGGGGTGTTGCTTAAAGTGGGTACCTACTGTTAGTCCTTGAGAGTTTTTTTTTTTTTTTTTTTTTTCCTTTATCAGTTTAGACAAGCTCCGAGCTGAAGAGACTGTTAATAATTGATGACTTTCTTAGTCAGGGATTCTGCCAGCAACCTTAGCTTTCTGCAGCGCTTGTGGCTTATTTCTATTCCCATTTTTCCCTCAGTGATTCAGCTCATTCAGCACATTGGGCAAGGCCACTTTACTGGCTTCTCTTATTTGGTTTGGGCTTTTGCATTCCCAGCCCCTCTTGATTTGGAACGAGCCAGCAGCCATGCTGATTATAAATCCTGCCCTAAAGCTCTGAAGGTTTGAAAGCTGCGCTTGCTTGATCCTGCCTACCCAGCTTAGTATATGCTGCCCGCATGAAACCAGGCTTTGTCCCCCACCAGTAATCTTGTGTAGTGGTGTGTGGGCTGCAGTGTTTGAGCAAGAACACATTAATCTAGAGAAAGTCGGCTACTGCGGTGCTAGTATACAATAGATATGTGAAAGTGAGAAGAACACTACTGCTGGCGGAATGATGCATTAGTGATAGTAAGCTAGTATTCATAGCTATGCAGATTGAATTTGATGGTTTTATTGTTCTACAAAGAGAACTTGCCAAGGAAAATGGTCTTTATATGTTGGATATTTCTTATTTATTTGCATGGGATTGAGGTTTTGATTTAATGGAAGATGATTGAAATGGATAGTTCACACAAAAATGAATATTTTGCCATTTACGCCCTCTCATGTTAATCCAAGCCTGTGATATTTTTTTTCCAAATTCAGAACACAAAAAAAATATTAAATTTTTTATTTATTTTTTTTTGTCCATGCAATAAAAGTCAATAGAGTCTGAAACAACATTGATTAGACCCAATTAACTTCCATTGTATGGACAAAAAAAACATTCTTCAAATTATCTTTGTTCAGCAGAAGAAAGAAACTCATAGAGGTTTGGAACAACATAAAGGTGAGCAAATAATGACAGAATTTTCATGTTTGAGTAAACTATCACTTTAAACCTGGGCACTTCAACTCCAGTGCTGGAGGGCCAGTGCCCTGCAAACTTTAATCTCTATTTAACCCACTTGTCTGCACACTCTTAAAAATAAAGGTTCTTTATTTGCACCCACGATTCCATGAAGAATTTTTCCACTGCACAAAAGATTCTAGTGAAAAAGGCTTCTTTAGATTATTAAAATGTTCTTTACACCAAGAAAAAAGTGGTTCTTTTAAGAACTGTTGGCTTAAAGGTTCTTTGAGAACCCTAAAATGGTTCTTTCAAAAAAAAAAAAACTCATGGAACCTTGTTTTTAAGAGTAGTTTACAAGTAATTCTTAACGCCTTTATTAGCTTGTTTGGTTGGGGTTATAGTTAAACTCAGCAGGACACTGGTCCTCCAGGTCTAGAGTTGAAAAGCTCTGCATTATATCCCAGGCTTCATCAATTTCTGAACCTTTCATGTTTTGTCAAAAATCCTAAAGGATTTTCTTCCCACTGTTAACAGAGTATTTTACCGAACGGGATGATTATGAGGATGATGACGACGAGGATGAAGATGGGTATGATTACGAGCTTGATGAAAGCGACAGCCTGTGTTCGTCATCCATAGAAGAAAGCGGGCTGGGTCTTCTGGCTCGCTTTGCCGCCAGCGCTATCCCGAGCCCCGTTGTCACCAGTCCGCTCTCCATTGTCCAACTGGAGGCTAAACAGAAAGCCAAGAAGAAAGAGGAACGGCAGAGTCTTCTGGGTAAGGAAGTGCTTTTTTTCCCTACGCTCTTAGATTCATCTTAAATGTGACGCCAGCTGCTTTTCCAAGCCCATGGGACTTGAATTCCCAGGTGACAAGGTGATGCATTGTTATTGGCTGTCTTTTGTTGCGCTGTGTCGTGCATGTGCGCCGGCGAGTGAGAGAATTGAAAGGTGCTGGCAGATGAAAACACATTGTGCATGGAGCAGTCACTCAGTAGGGGTGTTATTAAATATAGACACCCATCAGTTGTGCCCCACCTTGAGAATGGAGTGTCATTATCCCCCCGCCGCATTTGTGTGTGTGTGTTTGCTGCGCTGCTTGCGCTCGCTGAGAATGTGATGCTGACAGGCCTGGCTTTGATGAGGTTGTGCTGTGATCCTGAGCGGGTACCCAGCAGTGCACACGACAGGCCTGCCAGCGGAGACCAACAGCCCCCTTCATTAACTATTCCAAGACCCTGCAACAATGCTTGGACTTAATTCTGCTCCCACATCTGGCCCTGTTTATATCTCACATGTGCACATTATATTGTCGTTTTTCGTTTGCAAATGAGTTGACCACGTGTAGATGGTTTAAATTATAGCAGATGGCCTAGTATTTACATTACTGGTGTGTTTTTCATAAAAGGCACTTTGCGTTTATGTGCGAGTGCATTTAGTTTGCATTCTTTAGTAATAACCGAAGGTTATGTCTTCTGGATTGTAGGTACAGAGTTCGAGTTTACAGATTCCGAGAGCGATGTTAAGACGAGAAAGAAGTTTCCGTCGCTGTTGCATGGCAAATGGTCAGCTCCTGAGCTCCCGCTCTTGCCGCCCGCAAGCGTTATGCGTGACGACTCCAGCCCCAGCAAGGGTGGACGCAAACCCAAGAAACCCAAGTCTCCCCGGGAGTTCAGTTTCGACCTTACCGCTGATGGGAGTGAAGACGAACAATGGACGCGGCGGAGGAGCGAACGCATCTTCCTCCACGATGCTGCCCAAGCCAACCCCATCTCCCTGTCCAGCAAAACTCCTCTTCCGCTTACTCCCAAACCCGCCCGTGGCCCCAAAGCGTCCCCACAGAGCCCTAAGGAGCTGGCCAAAGGCAAGGAAGCGAGAGACCCCAACAAGGTAAGCCCTTGTTTTATTGATGTAGACCAAGTTCTATGTGCCAGACCCAATGAAACGGTGAGGGCGCTTGATACCAGCAGGTGTCCTGCTACATTTGTCGGACAAGAAAGCCTCCTGCTGTGAGTGTCATGTTGTTGGACACAAAAGGATGACTGCCGCTTGCCAGGCTACAATTACCAGCCATCACCGTTCCACCCTCCGAATCCTCCCTCGTTTTTTTATTTATTTATTTTTATAGTGTTCAGTGCATGACTGCCTAATAATGTTTGCTTGTCTATCCAGTGTTGTTGAATGGCTGTAATGTCTGGGAGAACTGAGCCCAATTGTGTCATGCATTTGTATGAGGCTTTTCACTCTAGTCCATGCTGATGGTTTGGCTTTGTATCTGGTGTGAATGTTCCAGAAGAAGAGGGTTAAGGAGACCCCCCTGTGTCTGCCCCCACCCCAGCTCTCCAGCACACCCTCGGACGGCACCGGAGCTCTCCCTGTCAGCCCAGGGCGCAAGAGCAAGGTGAAGCCCAAAGCCAGAGAGGTAACTTGCCTAACACTGCAATGCTAATAAGTCATAAACTGGCTGATATTTTGCAATATTTTGACTCATGAACAGAAATGGTAGTTTCCTCTTGAGTCAATTCCAAGATCTACCAACAACCATCAACTGGGAAATACCTATTTTTTATTGTTTATTAAATGCAGTAGTCAACATTTGAAGTGGTTCAAAAAAGTTCATCAAAGTTGTCAAAAGACAAGAACGCATTTTGGTTTTAGGACAACACTTCAAATGTTGACTAGTGTATTATAAAGGTATTATAAGCTAAGCTTATCTATTAATTTTATTTAGGCTCATGCAATTGTATTAAATATTATTTTACATTTTTCCATTCAGAAGTTTGGGGTCAGTACCACTTATTTTTTCTCTTTAAAATTTTTTATAGTTTTATTCACCAAGGGGCATTAAATAATCAAAATTGACAGTAAAGAAATATATAATGTTACAAATGTTTTTTTTTGTTTTTTTTTACTTTCCATTCATCAAAAAATCCTGAAAAAATGTACCATGGTTTCCACAAACATGTTAAGCAGTATGACTGTTTTCAACATTGATAATAAGAAATGTTTTTTAAACTAATCAGCATATTAGAATGATTTCTGAAGGATCATGAGACACTGAAAACCAGAGTAATGACTGTTGAAGATTCAGCTTTACCATCATGGGAATAAATTCGATTTTAAAATATAATGAAATAGAAAGCTAGTTTTAATAATACTTAACATGCAGCCTTGGGGAGCATTACAGACCACTTTCCATAACCCAAAAAAATCTTACCAACCCCCAAACTTTTGAATATATTATATTATATTATATTTTTTGACACCCTTACAATTGATGACAAAAATATCATACTTTTACATTTGTTTGGCCTGCCTTAACACTCTTAGTACATAAAATACATGATGCACTGTGTATTACTTCACATTTTTAACATGCCACATAATAAATATTTGAAACAGACTTAGTGTTGGGCAGCCATTTTGTGCTACACTGTGATGCCGAGGAGAAACAGCGAAAGGGATTAGAATAATTTTACCTGGCAGGCTCAAGGCCTATTGGGAGAAGCCTTGCATTTAAATGAGCCACCCCTTCCTGCTCCCCTGTCCCAGTCTGCATGGGCCTGCTCTCAGTACCCACCGTGACCAAAGGGAGGGAGGTGAGATGGGAAGAAGGAGAGAGAAAAGGGCCGAGTGCAGTAGAGCAGCAAGCCTAATTAGACTGCACACTCAGCGGGAAAGCAGTAAAATTAACCAAACGACATCTCGCTCCATCCATTTCTCCGCCCCTTTCGCACAATTTATTTATTTCTTCTCACTATAAATCTCCACTTCTTTTTAAAACTCTCCACTGCTGCTGTTTTTTCATCTTATGTATAAATCACGTTATAATGCACAGTGCAGACGCTCGGGAACTCCTCTGGGTATTTTGCCACATTCGAAATCAAGAAATCCTACATCTGGCGAGCCGAGCGTGTCACTCATCTAAATGGGTTTTACTGAATCAATTCTCTAGTAAGCACATGGGTCTCATCTTTAGAACTGAACCAACAATGGCTCGGTGTTCAATATTTCATATTGTCACAGGAATTGGGGCAAAATGTGCTTGAATTCTTTAATTGCTGTTTTATGACTAAATCAGACTTCATTTTCTTGTCCGTGCATGCAATTAAAAGTGAATGTCTTTTGAATGACGTGAGGGAGAGATAATTTCACAGCCTATCTTAAAATTGATTCGGCCTGATTGCGTTCATACGTTAATGGGGCGAGCTGAGTGTTACTGCATGCATTAGCTTGTGAGCTGCTTGCTTCCTACATTGACAGGATCATAACCGACATGAAACCTCACTAGTGACCGATTTGGAACGTTGTGCATAGACAGCAACTCTGTGTGCCACACAAACAGCCCTTCCCATGAGAGAGAGGCACAATTGGTCACAATTGATTTCAGTAGACTTTGATGATGTGAGGATGTTGCTAAGCTAGCTCTGCTATACACTTATAAGCACAGAAATACATAGCACATCAATTTTGGGAATAATATGACCTTTTTTATTATTTTAACATGAAACAATTTTATTGTTTTTATTTAATATTTCAATTTAATTCATTTTAATTCATAGATTTTTTTTTTTCCATTGACCTTGTCACAGTGCACTCTGGGATTTACTTCTCCACGATTAATACATGTGATGCTGTCTTAGAATTTGGCTAAAATGAGGTATCTTGGAGAGCAGCATAATTAAGTTTCCTTTGGGAACAGTTTTCACATTAAGATGCTGCATCCATAAACAGCTCCGTGGGTTTTGGAAGCTAGCTGTTTTCCCTGTCATTTGCAGTTTTTAAGGTGGTGATGAGATGTCTCTGGTTTTATTTAGTAGCACGTTTCAGCATGTCTCTCTTCTCATCTCCCTCTGTTCTGTGTCCCCCAGCCCCTCGGAACTGTGTCATTAACAAAGATGAACTGCAGGATGGATTACGGGTCCTCATCCCTATGGATGACAAACTCCTGTATGCCGGCCACGTCAGCACTGTTCACTCTCCTGACATGTAAGAGACCCCCCGCCCGAGCTGTTTTCATTCTCTTTATACCCTCTGCTGTGTCTTCCTTGTTGTTTGTCTATGTACGAATCTCTTATAGGCTACAATAACTGTCATAGACAAATATGTGTAATATTGTGTAAAATGCTTGCTAGACCCACTCCCATCTGCTTGAATGGGGAAATACTAAAATCTGAAAAACTGCTTGCCATATTCACATTTAAAGTAGCATTTCAAATCAGCAACAAAATCATACACAAAATGTCCCATGAATGGTCAAATAGAGTTAAAATAGCGTACATTTCAGGACATTGATTGTTTCTATGGGAACTGTTTTTTTTTGGGGCGTTTTTGCCTTTATTATGATAGGACAGATCAGAACTGACAAGAAGCGAAGTGAGAGAGAGAGAGAGAGAGAGAGAGAGGGGGTCGGAATTGGGAAAGGTCCTTGAGTTGAGATTCGAACTCGGGACGCCTGTCCTGCAACGGTTTTGTATGTCGGCGTTCTGCTCACAAGGCTATCGACACTTATGGGAAACCTGTACTTTTAACAGAAGCTGCAGTAACACAATAACATTACCAATTGGCAATTAGCTGTTTTTATTAGAAGGTGGGATTTATTACACCATATCATATTGCGTGTTGTGGATTCTTACATTCTTAGTGATATGTGTGAACTGTCTTGGTATATTTTTATTTTATTTTATTTATTTATTTATCAGACGCTTTTATCCAAAGCGACTCACAAATGAGGACAACAGAAGCAATCAATTGTAGTATTAAAACAACTAAAAACAGATCCAAAACTAAAAGCTAAAACTTTATAAATACTACTTATACACATTTTAAAAATAAAGAAATTAAATAAAAATGACAAATGCATACAACAAAACTTAACATTTAAATGAAAAACAAAAAATAAAGCTAAAAACATATTAAAGAACAAAAGGTATAAGAGTATAATAATGATTCTAACATAACACTAAGCCAAACCCCAAAAAAAAAAAAAAACTAC